TCAATAGAGAGCACAAGATGAATAGTTGCTGCTTTGACAACTGGACTAAACGTGTCCTCATAGTCAATACCATACCGTTGCTTGAACCCCTTTGCAACTAAGCGGGCTTTGTAGCGGTCAATAGTGCCATCGGATTTTCTCTTAACTCGATAGACCCATTTGCAATCAATAAGATTTATACCTTCACGATGAGGAACTAAATGCCATGTCTTGTTACGTTGCACCGCAGATATTTCTTCCTCCATTGCTTGTTTCCATCTAGTGTCCCCAAGAGCAGCAGCGAGCAACTTTGGTTCACTGGATTCCCCTGTCAAACACGTGAGACCGTACTTGGAAATATTTTGGTAATTAATTCGGTTAATAACTCCCTGGTGCAACCTGGTTCGTGTAGAACGGACTCCAGGAGAGGGACCCACAGAAGATCCGGGCACCTAAGGAGGATCAGCCGCAGCAGATCCCGAGGGAGATCCTGGTGCGCTGGTGGCGCCCAATCCCGAAGACGCCTCGGGACGAGGCGAGGCAGCCAGGCCCACGTCACGGTCTGACGCGGCAGTCTCACGGTCGGGAGAGATCACGGGAGTGGAGGGCCCAGGCGCGAGGGGGCGGCACGCGGAGCCCTTAGGTTGGCTGGGCCGGCACGCGCGTGGAGAGGCGGGGAAGCCAGGCGGTGGCCCAGCTGGTCGAGCCGATCCCGAAGCGGATCTGGGTGTTGTAGGCGGGACGTCGATAGCGGGCACCTGGATGGATCCCGAGGCGGATTGCATGGCAGAGGGAGGCAATCCCGAGGAGGATCCTCCAGGGGATTCCGTGCACATAAAATGCTGCACTGTAGCACCATTTTGAACACCGTTTTCAACACCATTTTCACTGTTTCTTTCACTGTTTATTGCTGAAACACAAAGCTCAGGTATAAAGTTAGGAGGGTTAGTCAAATATTGATCATCACAATTATTTTCTTCCCCATTTTCATCATTGGAGAGATTCGAGGGAAAAAGAAGAATTTCTTCGCGAAGAAGGGCACCGGCATTTGGATGGAGTGTGGCAAAGGGAAACTGGGTTTCATCAAAGACAACATCCCGGGAGATATACACTCGACCGGTAGAGACATCTAAGCACTTAACTCCTTTATGTTGTGGACTATAGCCAAGAAAACACACTGTTTCGAATGAAACATGAGTTTACGATTGTTGTATGGACGTAGGTTGGGCCAACATGCACACCCAAATACACGAAGTGGTGCATACTCTGGTTTGACATGTAAAAGACGCTCAGTGGGAGTTTCATTTTTGATGACACGGCTGGGTAGAATATTAATAAGATGCACAGCTGTGAGAAAGGCTTCATCCCAAAACATTAGTGGCATGGACGCAGCAACAAGCAAAGCAAGGCCTACCTCACCAATGTGTCTGTGTTTGCGCTCTGCCGAGCCATTTTGCTGGTGAGCATGGGGGCAGGAGACATGGTGAGATATTCCCAACTTTTGAAAAAAGGAGTTGAGTTTTTCGTACTCACCACCCCAGTTGGATTGAATGGCAAGAATTTTGCTATTAAATTGTGTTTCAACAAGTGCTTGAAAGTTTTGGAAAACTTGAAACACATCACATCTTTTCTTAAGAAGGTATATCCACGTATGTTTGCTAAAGTCATCGATGAAGCTAACATAATAAGCATGTCTACCAACAAAAAGAGGAGCAGGACCCCATACATCAGAGAATATGAGCTGCAAAGGTTTAGTAGACACACTAGTTGAGACAGGATATGGCAACTGATGACTTTTAGTTCTTTGGCAAGAATCACACACTGTTTCATAGTTATGCTCTCCAACAACTGAGAGATTATTTTTGCTAAGAATTTGCTTGACAACAGAAAAAGAAGGATGGCCCAAACGGGCATGCCATCTCTCTATAGAGAGTCTAATGGCACTACACACTTGTTTATTAAATCTGCTAACTTTGGGAATCAAAGGGTAAAGTCCATCCACGCATCTACCTCGATAAAGGATTTGCTTCGTGACCTGATCCTTGATCAAGAAAAAGAATGGGTGAAACTCTAGAAAAACATGATTGTCAAGAGCAATACAATGTACAGAGAGAAGGTTTTTCGATGAACTAGGACAATGATGAATATTGTTAAGATGTGTATCTCTATGCAGGGAATGAATAATTGAATGACCAATATTGCTTATCTCCATACCTGAACCATCAGCATAATGGACTTGATCATGCCCGTTGTATCTTTCATGCATGGTGACCTTCTCTAGCTCATGAGTGATGTGGTCGGTGGCTCCAGAATCAACATACCAATTTCAATCTACACCATAGCTTGTGTTTGCCGCAGCAGCAATTTTCTTCTTTTGTGAGTTATCTTCAGCATATCGCCACTTGCATTCTTTTGCTATGTGATTAGTTCTCTTACAAATTTGACACTTGCCCTCATATTCATCATACCCACGAAAGTTGTTGTTGTAGTTGTTTTGGTCGCCCCTATTGTTGTTGTAGAAGGGTCGGCCTCCTCCCTGGTGATGGTTGTTGTAGTTGGAGCCGCTGCCACCGCTGTTGTTGGACTAGTGGCCGCCACCACCCCCTCCGTAGTGGTTGTCGTTGTCGCCGTAGTGGCCTCCGCCGCCACCGTTGTTGGGGTAGTAACCGTCGCCGCCGTGTCCAGAATCACGACGGGAGCCGCCGCCGCCGCCGCCTCCGTTGCCGCGGTAGCCTTTGGACGGGCCACCTCCACAGCCACGCGATGCAGCATTGGCTGACGACTTGAAGGCGCCGGCGCCCGTGCCCTGGAACATCTCCACCCTCTAATCGAAGGTAGCAACCATGGCGAAGAGTTCATCTACAGAAACATCATCAGGGCGAACATCAAGGGCAGAGATGATTGGTTGGTAATCCATGTCGAGGCCAGAGATGATGTGAGAGACGAGCTCTTTTTGTGATAGGTTTGCCGGCTGCAGCTAGTTCATCGGCAAGGCCTCGCATGTGGCCAAAGTAGGTGGCGGCAGATTGGGTTCCTTTCTAGGCGGTGGTGAGAGAGATGCGAACGTGGTTTGCTTTGGAGCGGGACTGGGCAGAAAATATATTGGAAAGGGCTGTCCAGATTGCATGAGATGTATCTAGGGAGGCAACCTGAACTAGCACCTCCTTGGAGAGATTGCGGAGTAGATAGGCGATGATTTGTTGATCCTGGATCAACCAAGGAGCATAAGCAGGGTTAGGAACGACCTGATCTTTGCCCTCAGAGGTTTTGCTGACTAGGGTTTTTTCTGGTGCGGCGATGGTTTTGTCAAGATATCCAAAGAGACCGGCCCCCATGATTTGGGAGCGGGCTTGAGCACGCCAGAGAACATAGTTCGATCTGGTGAGAGGTTCTGAGACATTGTTGTTGAGGCCGGAGAAAACTACAGCGGTGGAGGTCGACATAGTCGAGTTTGGGAGGGAGGAGGATAGCTAGACGAGGTGGAAGAAGATCGCTCTGATTACCATGTGGAAAGTTGTGGAAGCGTTCCTACTCTCCATACAGGGAGAGCCGCATGTTATATATTGATATGTGGCGAGAGGCGTCTCGTGACGTTACAGGATGCGATCGTGAGCTAACGATCGAGAGATACAATAGGGAGAAGAGATAGAAAGATAAGAGAGAATTAAAAGAAACTCTATCTCTAACTACCTAAAATAAACATGACACATATGTAACATAATAAACGTGACATGATGTTTAACACTCATAAGCTAGCAAAAGTTGCAGTGGGTGAGGAACCGGACCACGTGTGGCGTAGTTTCCCCCTGATTGTATCCTGGATGTTATCTCGGATGACATTCCGAGCTTTGGTTAATTAATGCAAGTACTTTCCCTAAAAAAAACTATCCTACACGAGACCTATCTTTACTGCAGCGCCTCAACTGTCCTACACGAGACCGATCATCTGTTGGTGCTGTGGTGGCTGACGTCAAGCATGCAACATTCCGGCAAAAACGACAGATTTGACCCATAAACGAAAAGAATTCATAAAATAAACTCTCATTGAATAAATTTCACACAGCTGATCTTTTTGTGTAGCGTCCGACAACTAGGCGTCACACTACATTGTGCAACGCCTTACTGACAGGCGTTACACGTCTGGCCAGCTTCGCACTCCGGACTGCCTGAAAATTGCTAAGTCATAGTGTCTAGGCGTTGCACTACATCTTCAAGCGGCCACTAGTGTAGGATAGTTTGTGAAAAGGTCAGCTGTGTGAACAAATTTCATGAACAGTTCAGTTTGTGAAATACTTTCTTCTCGAGGTCAAATGTGTACATTTTGCCCAACATTCCACTTGACCCTGACACTCCGTGATCTAATACAAGAAATTCGCCAGCATTTTAATGTAGCTTGCTCATGTTTGAGCTCAATCATGTGTGAACCCTAGTGGTCTTTGTGTTTTTCTTTCTGTGCCAGAGTGCATCCGGGAGACTGTTAATTTGTTTGCTTAGTCAATAAAGAGAGCACCGGACAAGAAAAAGAAGCAAGCACGGCCTGATTCGCATTCCCAGTATGACACATCAGAATGAGATGATCAAATCTAACAAACAACAGCTAGTAAAAAAAAAGTTATCCATCCAGAACCATACATGCCCTCACAATTTTTGCATCTAAAAAAACTGGAAAAAGAACAACAGTCATGATTTGTGACAATCCTGTCCGAAATGGACAGAGGCTTTTATATATTGTTATAAAGATTACAGACATGATGTGATGGCAGCACTCCTGCGCTTGCGGTAACAATCACCGAGGGGGCGGTGCGACGGAACAGTGATCGCTTTGCCAAACCGTTCCGAGGTGACACGAGCCCATTGACGAATCTCGCTCTCTGGCATGCCCATATTCAGCACAGGAGCGCATTCTAGTGTCACCTGTGGTTCTATGGCCACATGCTCAAGTGCAGGACTCTTCTCAAGGATGCAACACAAGAGCTCAACCTGAGCCCGGTAACACCTGAACCCGCTCATGTAGACTGTCTTCAGGTGATCAAGGCGATGAATACAGGAGACTTCCTCCCTGTCCCCTCGCCTTGCCAGCATTTGGCTCCCAACTTGTGATACATCATCTGTTTCAGGAGCAACAATTCATAGTCAATCAATATAATATTGCAGTACAGCTTTACTCGTTCTCAAACATCAACCTGTAAGCATGCAGTCTACATATATGCCAAAATTAATGTACTCAGAAGTCAGCAGATGAGAGTGTTGCTCTTGACGCTGCTGGCACACATTGGCCTGAGCCCATTGGGCGTGTGGTTCCTGTGGGTGATGATGTTGTGGTGCCTGGAGTGCCGGTGCCTAACCTTGGAGACATGTTCGCCATCAAGTTTGTTGAGTATCTAACAAACTTGGATTCTGCAATATCGAAGGCATTTGGATGTCTCTTGAGGGAAAATGCACGGGGGAACAAATGTAAGGATGGTGGTGCTCACCCTCAATCCGGCATCCGCAAGAAGAAATCCAACAAGTGCAAAGGCAAGAAGGCTGGTGATAATGGAGAGGCACAAGTGGTTTCATGATGCGGCTCTCTTGGCTGCAAACAGGGGCTCGGGTGTGTTTGTTGTCTTTGTCGATGTGTTTTTCTCATGTTGTAGCGGGTCGGTGGGGTTTCACTGCTGTTATTGTTTTTTGCTCTGACGTTGTGGTCTTGTGGAGCCATAGTTCGCGAGTAGTCCGCATGAGTCGAGAAGTTTGTGACTTGGCTTTCGCCTGGTTTTACGTAAATTAACTGGGCAACTATCGTCTTCTTAATTAATGGATGAGGCAAATCTTTTGCATCCGTTTCAAAGAAAAAAAATGCGCATCCATGTTTAATCTGGAAAACTCAAGAAAGAGTACTCACATGCAATTTCAGCGTCTCTAGCTGGGGCGCAAAAGCCAAATAGTGCGCCAGTTGAAGAAGACCACTGTGGCTATTTGGAACCTTGGTGTCGATTTTTATTTCACAAGTCAGATGCCTCAAATTCGTATACATGCATGCAGGTCTTCTTGTCACCATGTGTACCTGAAACATGACCAAAACAAGAAACATTAGCATTCGCTGTTTGAAGAACTGTGAGGTAAATGATGAAAATGGTAAACAGCCGGGGTACCTGTGAGATCCAAACGGGAATATCTGCCTTCATATAAGCATGCATTATTAGCACCTTGACTGCCGAAATACTGGGAATCACAGTGAATGCATGCCCAAGTTCTTTATTATCTGTTTCAAACATTACTGTAGCCTTTTCTAATTTTGAGCAACCATGAAATTCTATAGGAATCACATCCCCTTTGTACTCAAAATGGGTAAGGCCAGTAACATGAAAATCAATCATCTGGACAGGCATACGGGAAATTAGCAAATGTCTAAGTTTATTGAGTTGGTGTGGTATATTGAGATCAGTCACACCCGAGCAAGCAATGAGCTCCAAGTCCTCAAGACTAGAACAACTTAATAGCAAGCCTGGAAAATCTCCAGTTATTTTAACAGAGTGCAGAAGAAGCCTTGTGAGTTTTGTAAAGCCACGTATATCTGAGTGTGGCTTTATAAAAACATCTTTCAGAAATAACGACTCGATAAAAGGGTCATCTTGAGCACATAAAGCGTCAAGAGGGAAGTGATAAACTCGTTTTGTTATTCTTCTTGACCAGAGGTTAATATCTATGATCTTCGCCTTTGCTGCCGTGGCAAAGTAAATCCACCTATTAAGATGATCGGAGGACTTCTGCTGGAGGCCACACCTGATGCTGAACTTGTTGAGCCCTGTTCCACTGTGCTGTTGTATAATAGAATTGACCGTCTCAATGAACTTTGCTCTTTCTATTTTGACACTGTCCTCATCAGTGGACCGGTCTTTGGTGCCATCAAAACAGAGATTAGGATGGTGCATCCAGAGTTTGGTCCAATTTCTGGACACAATGCTGGTCCTTGCAACCTCTTTCAGTGAAAGCAGAGACAATATAACAGGTCGAATATCCTGGGACAAGAAAGGATGATAAGGGTCAAGTTTTGATCAAAAATATCTGATAGGCATGGTAATCTGATAAAAGTACTCCCTCTGTTCACTATTAAAAGATGTTCTAACTTTTTTCTAATCTAATGTATGTAGACATGTTTTAGTGTGTTTGTTCACTCATTTCTATCGCGTACTGGGCCATGAGATGGGCCATGGTGAACATTGGACTGACATATGGGCCCATGGTGGCAGGGAAGGCTTTCTTGACATCGACCATGAATCGCCGGCCGCCACTACAACCACGCCAGAGATCCACGACCAGGCATCACTCACGCCAAGCTGCACAATTGAGTAGCTTGACATGGCTGCGTTCGCCCCTGGCGACAAGCTCGAGGTCGCCCCAAGGCTGGCCTCACCAAGGCAGCGAGCCATGACGTGGCACTTGCAATGCACTCTCTTCCTATAGGTACTACTTCATCTAGCTTGCTGCTTTTGCATCAGAATATGCTTCCAGGATGGGTATGCAGATTGTTCTGTGCGGTTCGAGCTCTGGTCATCCTGGAGACATCATGATTTTAGTCCGAGGGCATCATCATGTCGATCAAGTTGGCACTATGTTGTGTATTTCGGGCGAGCATCTCCAACTACACTTTTCTCGTCGACCAGCTTGGGGCTAAACCAACTTTCTCGCCCATTGGACCGACATGTGGTGGACATTGGACCGACATGTGGCCCCATGGTGGCAGGGACGGCTGCAGAAGGAGAATAGTCAGATCTCAGATCTGAGAGGGGACGAACAGAACAGAGCGATGAACTCTATCTCCTCGTCCTCAGCTCTTCTTCCTCGCCCATTGTCTCTCTGGATTTCCTATATCTAATGTGAGATTGCTTCCGTCTACCTCCCAAACCACAGCTTCCCTCTTCAATCCCCTTCTCTGTGAGATTTGTGAGCTAGGTTCATAACAATTTCAGTCCATATGTAGTCCATACTGAAATATCCAAAACATCTTATAATAGTGAACGGAGGGAGTACTGGCTCAGTGCGTCAACATAATGTAAACTGGTAATTCCCCAACCAACCAAAAAAAGTGGAGAGGAGACACAGGGCAACGGAAAAGAAATGATTTTTACCTCGGGGAAATCCTCCATGTGGAAGGAGGATAGCCCGGGTTCGTCGCTGAGGCCGCTGTGGCCCTCCGTCCTCCTCCGCTTGGTCGCCGCTTCATCCTCCATACTACTGCAGGAAGGGAGGCAATCAAATCAAACGAAACAAATCACGGGTCCTCTACTGCAGGAAATAATATAGGCGACTGACCCGACGCCGACCGCGACCCCGACCCCGACCCCAACCCTGATTCCGTTCCACACTTATATAGGATTTGCTGGCAACCCCTTTCCCTTTGAAACAGGATACTAGGATTTGTTTGGAACCCATTTCCCTTTGGAAAAGGGATCTACTAACCTATCGGGAAATGGCGGAGGAGACCAGAGAAGAGATCAAATCGATCGAGAACAGCCGAGTGAGAGCTAATGAGGGACCTATGATGGTAATCGTAGTGCTACTTTATATACTAGGAGTAACATGAGGAGTTGCGTCGTCTCCTCAGGCTTCGGTCATGCTATCGGGTGTCTCCCCAACCGGTCGATTGGGAGTGGGGGCTCGAAGAGTAAAAAATTGCGCCGTTCCGTCTCCTACCGGCGACTGCCAGCCAATTCAATTAACAGTGACGCCTCGTGCCGTATATTAAATATACTGTGTTCTATACAAAGTTTCGATTATTTAGACTAGCCATAGTGGGAGTAACTTAGGTAAGGTAGTAACATAATTACATAACACATCCCAAAACATATATGTTTATGTGGCATGGAGTTAATAAGAAGAGAGGTGCTTGTGGTAACATGATATGTTATCATAACATAACGCACCTCAATGCAAAATGAGTCTACAACATAATAAATGAAGGCTTGCATGATACTCCCTCCCTCCGAAAATACTTGTCCTCAAAATGGATCAAATGGATGTATCTATAACTAAAATAAGTCTAGATACATCCATTTTTAGGACAAGTATTTCCGGACGGAGGGAGTACTATACTTATGTTACTACCCACTATGATAGTAGTAACATAGACTAGTAACATATGTATGTTACTAGTCTAAGTTACTATCCACTATGACTAGCCTTATGAAAAATGTTGATATTTCAGTAGCTGGTCAATCATCAGAGTACTACCCAGTCTAGCGGGTCCGGAGTATTAATTTTTGTCAGATAGGGACATGCATACATCAGCCTCTTCTTTCTTCCTTGCAAACAAATTCATGGACTTTATTCCATCTTAGCAAAGTAAAAACATTCTTATCTTTTAAACCATAATTTTGTATTTGAAATAATTTATATATTTGAACTCTTGATGCCGCCAAGGCCTTTAAAACTAGACCGATCTTGGATACATTTCAAACACATTTAAATTCCAACATTTCACATTTCATATGTGGAACTAATATATTTCACTTGAAAAAATTGAAACAAGTTAATAAGATATTTCAGAATTATGAAATAATAAGTACAGAAAATGAAATTATAATATACAATTTTGAAACTGATTATTTGAAGATGTGAACAACGTATTTCAACTTTTGTGCTTACTATTTCACAATTCAGAACTAACATTTCACTTTTCACTGTCTTCTTTCGCAAAAATAATATATCAATTGCACATTTCACAATTCAAAACCTACTTTTCACTTTTTGCTCGCTTGTTTCACCAAAATAAATCGATTGCACATTACTCAAAAACTATTTCATTGTTTTCAAATAGATTGTTTCATAGTTTCGAATAATCAATTTCATAATGATACATTATAATTCACTTTATGTGCTTACTATTTTACAATTCAGAACCAACATTTCACTTTTCACTAGCTTGTTTCACAAAAATAACACCTATTTCAATTGTACATTTCTCAAATAACCTGTTTCACTCTTTTGAAATAAATTATTTCATATTTTCAAATAATCAATTTCACAATGATACATTAGAATTTCACTCTCCGTGGTATTTCACAATTCATAGCCTACATTTCATTTTCACTGGCTTGTTTCACAAAAAACATATTTCAATTGTACATTTATCAAAAAAAACTATTCCACACTTTTGAAATAAATTGTTTCACATTTTCGAACAATCAGTTTCACAATGATACATTATAATTTCACTTTCTGTGGTTGCTAGTTCACAATTCAGAAGCTACATTTTCACTTTTCGCTGGCTTTTTGACAAAAATCACATCAATTTCATTTGCAATTTTTGAAATAACATATTTCACTCTTTTGAAAATAAACGGTTCCACATTTCCAAATAATCAGTTTCACAATATCGCATTTCAGTTTCATTTTTTTTTTCACTTTCAAAACCAATATTTCACTTCCACTATCTTGTTTCACAATATAAGCAAAATTGGTTTACTTCTAAAGGTCTTGGCGCCCGGAGTTCAAATATATAAATTATTTCAAAAACAAATTTAAATTTTAAAAGATATAAATGTTTTTAATTGGTCAAGATGAAAAAAAAGTCCATGGATTTGTTTGCAATGAAAAGCGAAAAGACATATGCATGCGCGTGTGTGAGAAGAGAGAGAGAGAGTGAGTTGTAACATCAATGCCTGCCATGCAAGGACAAATAGCATGGGACAATAGCTGTACTCGACTGGGTATTCAGTTTGTATAACAAAATAAGTACTTTTTTGGACCGAATCTTAAAGCAGCTATGGAATGGTGAGATTATCACCGGTAGGAGACGGAACCGCACAATATGACTTTGCGAGTGGGAGCTCCCTCGGGCCTCTGCCGCCAATGTCGGCGGCGGGTGGGCCAGGCTATCCGAGTTTTGTCGCTCCACTCGTAGTTTGCAGTCAGATCGCAATGGATGACTGTTTTTTCTCTGCTACCTAAGAGCATCTACGGCTGGACTTCTCAAACTCGCCTCATACGCCTCGGCGGACGCCCGGTCACTGCCCACTCATGATTTTTTGACCCAGACGACCCCTCAAACGCCTGGACTGGTCGGCACCCCCATATCCAGCCCAAATATGGGACGGATATGGGGCGCCTGCGCACGCCCGTCACATCGGACCCGACCCACACTGGCCCACCCGACCCCACATAAAATCCTCCCCATCCGTTCGTCGGACCAAATCCTAGCCACTTCACTCCCCTCCCCTACACTCCCATCCGCCACCCAAGCTCATCTCCGGCTCCTTACGATCGTCTCCGGCATGGCGGGCACCGGATCCGAGTCCTTCACCTCCAGATCCTTCGACCCCGAGCTCATCCCGCGCGGCCCTGAGAAGGAGATGGTCGTCCGGCTTGCGCTCCACCACGCCCGGGAGGAGGCCCGTGGACGGCTGCGCTCGGACTCCATCCGTCGGAAATCGCTTGTGTCCGCCCAAATGGGGCATGGTGCGGCGCTAGGTGGGTCGTCGCTGCCTCGCTGAAGGCCGTGCGGTCCGTCTGGCGTCCAAACACGTTTGCGAATGCGCAACCCCTCCGGTGGCACGCCGATGTTGGGGACGCATATACATCCATTTTGCATCATGTTTACCTACTGTTATTTATATTTTTTATTGCATAATAATGCTTTTTGGAGTAATTCTAATGCCTTTTCTATCATAATATGCAAGGTACACACAAAGGGGGAGAGTTCTGTCAGCTGGAAATCTGGACCTAAAAAAGCTACGTCAGGCTACCTATTCTGCACAACTCCAAATGAGCTGAAACTTTACGAGGATTTTTATGGAATAAATAAGAAATATTGGAGCAAATAAGTACCCGGAGGGGCCCCCCTGGTGAGCACAAGACACCAGGGCGCGCCCTGGTGGGTTGTGCTCATCCAGGCCCACCTTCGGTGCTCCCCTTCTGGTACATAAGTCATTTTGACATAGAAAAAAATCAGGAGAGGACTTTTGGAACGAAGCGCGCCGTCTCGAGGCGGAACCTGGGCAGGAGCACTTTTTCCCTCCGGCGGAGCGATTCTGCCGGGGAAACTTCCCTCCTGGAGGGGGAAAATCATCGTCATCATCATCACCAACAACTCTCCCATCTTGGGGAGGGCTATCTCCATCAACATCTTCAACATCCCCAACTCCTCTCAAACCCTAGTTCATCTCTTGTGTTCAATCTTTGTACCGGAACTATAGATTGGTGTTTGTGGGTGACTAGTAGTGTTGATTACATCTTGTAGGTGATTACTATATGGTTTATTTGGTGGAAGATTATATGTTCAAATCCATTATGCTATTTAATACTCCTCTGATCTTGAGCATGTTTATCATTTGTGAGTAGTTACTTTTGTTCTTGGGGTCACGGGAGAAATCATGTTGCAAGTAATCATGTGAACTTGATATGTGTTCAATATTTTGATGATATGTATGTTGTTATTCCCTTAATGGTGTCATGTGAATGTCGGCTACATGACACTTCACCATATTTGGGCCTAAGGGAATGCATTGTGGAGTAGTTATTAGATGATGGGTTGCGAGAGTGACAGAAGCTTAAACCCTATTTATGCGCTATTCTGTAAGGGACCGATTGGATCCAAAAGTTTAATGCTATGGTTAGAATTTATTCTTAATAGTTTTCTCATAGTTGCGGATGCTTGCGAGGGGGTTAATCATAAGTAGGAGGTTTGTTCAAGTAAGAACAACACCTAAGCTCCAGTTCACCCATATACCAAATTATCAAAGTAGCGAACACGAATCAACCCAACATGGTGAAAGTGACTAGATGAAATTCACGTGTACCCTCAAGAACACTTTGCTTATCATAAGAGACCTTTTGGCCTGTCCTTTGCCTCAAAAGGATTGGGCTACCTTGCTGCACTTTTGTTACTACCACCGTTACTTGCTCGTTACAAATTATCTTGCTATCAAACTACTATGTTACTTACAATTTCAGCACTTGCAGACATTGCCTTGCTGAAAACCACTTGTCATTTCCTTCTGCTCCTCATTGGGTTTGACACTCTTACTTATCGGAAAGGCTATAATTGACCCCATATACTTGTGGGTCAGCTATTTTCTGGCGCCATTGTCAGGGAGTGAAGCACTTTTGGTAAGTGGCAATTGGTAAGGAAACATTATTACTACATGCTGAAATTTATTGCCACTTGCTACTATGGAAAACAATCATTTGAGGGGTTTGTTCGGGGTATCTTAACCTCGACCGGAACCACAAT